CCTCCAGATGCAGGATGAGGGCCACCTGCATCATGAAGGACCCCACTCACCCAGCATGCACACTTTTGCCCCGCTCCTCTTAGGCAGGAGGTGGTAGAGCATTAAGTGTAGAACCACTAGACTGAGGAACAGCTTCTACCCTAAATCTGTTACACTCATAAATCCCTAATCGGGATTATCACTGTGAATTCAATTCAGTTCAATTCAGTTTATTTATATAGCACCAATTCACAACAAAGTTGTCTCAGGGCACTTTACAGAAACATTCACATACATAGAAAAGCCAATTAGTTAAGTTCTCTATCTAAGGAAGCCAGCAGACATGCTGAATCTTCACTTTGTCGCAGTCCCCCATCCTGAGCAAGCACAATGGCAACAGTGGAAAGGAAAAACTCCCTTTTAAAAGGATGAAACCTTCAGCAGAACCAGGCTCAGGACAAGTGGCCATCTGCTTTGACTGGCGGGTTTAAGAGGACAGAAAGGAGAGGCAAACGAACACAGAATGGCAGGTCCAGGTATAGTTGTACCTGAAAGACAAAAACACATGTCAAGGATAGAAAAAAATACTAAAAAAAAAAAATCACTGTAATGCAACTTTGTTTGTTGATATGTGCTGCTGATTATTTCATGCTGCTGTATTCATTCATTCGTACTCATCCACCCACATAGACTCATTATCGAGCTGCTGTTTTTTGGTGTATTGTTTTGTACTATTAGTGACTAGCATATATATTAGATCTTTTAGCGTACCGTTTGGCATTCGTTTAGCGTATATCTTAGTTCATATCTTAGATCCTTATTTATTGATTTATTGTTTCTTTTTACACTTTATATTTTTGCAATTGTTGGATGTAACTGGGACCCAGTGTACACAATTTTGTTCCACCTCATGTATCACATGTGATATGAGTGACAATAAAGAACCTTGACCTGACCTTTATATATATATATATATATATATATATATATATATATATATATACACACAACATCTTCTTTTCGCTTTTTCCTATATAGGGGTTGCCACAGCAAATCATCCTCGTCAATCTCACTCGTGTATTCACATACTATATATTGACTGGTAACTCTACATTGTCCCTAGGTGTGTGTGAGAGTGAATGGTTGTTCGTCTTGCTTGTCTCTATGTGTCCCTGTGATGGACTGGAGACCTGTCCAAGGTGTATCTCACCTCTCGCACAGTGATAGCTGGACATGGGTTCCAGTGACCCCCGCGACCCTAAAAGGAAGAAGCGGGTAAAGATAATGGATGTATGGATGTATGTGTACTTTATACATATATATATATATATTTATATATATATATATATATATGTAGATGAACATATGCTGATATATATTCATAAATTAAACAGATTCTTTCATTTTTCTGGACTGTATAATGTACGTGCATTGAATTTAATAAAAATGTGGATGGAAACGTGTTTATCTTTGACTCACCAACGACAGTGGGTCATTTATTAACAGAATCAAGTTTAACACATCACAAATTTACATTAATTGGCAAAAATTGAAAATAACAACAGCTTATTTAGACTAGTTTTACAAGGAGGAAACAATACGGCGATTGTTTCCCACTTCCAGCAGTACAACAGACATTAACCATACGGGGAAATATCTGGATTAATTTCTAGCAGATAGAGGAGTTTAAAGATTGAAGTTTAGAGGGACACGTAAGTGCAGTCGAATGTGCAGCTTGCATTTGCCAAATTTATTTACATTTTTCTCAGTTTCAACCAAGTTTTGCAGCTGCAGCTGTCGTCCGAGGGGAAACCAGAGGAAGAGGAAGTCTCTGAAGAAAAACTTGAAACTTTCAAACTGTCACCGATAACTGAAGGTCACAGTATGGTGACTACAAGTTGAGTTATTTTAGTTAATAATTTGCTTTAACTGGACTAAATCCTCAAAAAAAAAATTTTGTTTGAGTGTTTTTTACATGTCCACCACATCTGTAAAAACTAATTTTTTTGGATTTACATAAGAAATGCACAAGTGTGTGCGTCTGTGTCCCAGAATTAAAGCTATTCACACACTTAACATTAAACGTTGATTTTAATAGTTACTGAGTAAAAATGGAAGGACCAGAAACAGTGGTCAGGAAAATGAACACATGAATATTGTGTTAGCAGATATTTTAGACAAAGAAAAATACAGTGGACAAAGGATAGCAAGTGTTTAAAGGTTACTTGTATTCAAAAATCATCTTGTAACGAAGCCGAAGGAACAAAGAACAGACAATCAATCAACCTTTATTTATACAGGTAAATCCCATTGAGCCTCGAGGTAGCCTCGAGACAGGCATTCCTCCCCACTCAGCTTTTCATCTGAAATAAATAATAAAAATAAAGGTTTATTTTTAGAAGCAATCAGAAATTCAGGTTGCAAAATGGTTGTTCTTTTCCAATTGCATTGTTTTGCAAATTCAGATGAAATTGTCAACATTGTAATTTACAGTAGCTTCTTGATAGTACCTAAGAGAAGTATGTATTTATATGCATTTAATTTGTATTGAACGTTTTTTGAATACCTAAGAGAAGATTTCAGAGGGAAATTTACAGTTTACATCTATGCCAAAGTCCTGCAGCATCACATCTTCAGTTCATGCTTTCATTCAGGCTTTTTTCACAGACTGGCCTGTCCCTTTACCTGGACCAGCATGAAGAGGAAGATGAAAGTGGAGGATGTGGACCACAGGCTGCTGAGTTCACTGCATGATAAAAGCTATAAAACATTAAAAAATAAGCTGTTGATACAGGCTCCGTGCAAATAACCACAAATATTACCATGAACTAACCTTTTACAGTTAAATACGTTAATCTGGTTTGTCCCCTTCTAGAAATGGGAGCAGTCGCTGAGCCTTACATTAAATGTGACTGTGCTAGATTAGCACGCTTCAGTAGTTCAAGAACCTGGATGTTTAAAAAAACTGATCCGAAAGACCTCCAGCTGTTAATGATGAACTGTTAAGATACTTTTTGTCATTTCTCTTCCTCCCATTGCACAGAACAGCTTGAATGTTCTAGCATTAAAAAGATGATGCCTTCTGATAAAGTGTCCTACAGTTCTTCCTTCCTGCCATCTGTCGGCTGTTCAGTGGTATCAAATGAGAGGGATACACTTTTCTGAGAAGAATATTATGAGAGATGAGACAAAAAAAAAACTAAACGTAACTGAATGCGCACACCTTGAAAATAAATCATTCTTGCTGTACTTTTACTTTGTGCAGATCCTCCACATCAAAAGAGCCAGTTGAGGTGATTCATGTATCTGGTAAGGATGCCCCCTGGGCACCTCTCTAAAGCCATTCTCCAAACGTGTCCAACTCACAGGGGACCCCAGGGAAGACCCAGGACATGGAGAAATCATGTGTCTAGGCTGACCTGGAAATACCGTGGAGTCTGTCTAGGAGATCTGGAAAAGGTGGCTGGGGACAGAGATGTTTGGGCCTCCCTGCTTAAACTGCAGCCCCCATGACCTAAAGAGGAAGATGATGGATGGATGGATGGATGGATGGATGGATGGATGGATGGATGGATGGATGGATGGATGGATGGATGGATGGATGGATGGATGGATGGAAACATCACTAAATTCTAAGTAAGGAATAAGCAGGAGAAGTACCTCACTGTCTGAATAAGTGTTGGAACAGATGGTTCATGTTTGTGTATCTTGTGATCTCAGCTGCTGACATTTCACCTCCTTCTATAACTAATCCCTCTTGTGAATGTGTGTCAGGTGGTTAAATTTAAATTAGTACAAGAAGTACAAAAAATATCAATACCTGAGTTAACAATCCATCATTATCTGTGATCCTTTATGTGATCAGTTGTTAACTGGTATTGCAAGGTCTGTCTAATTTTAATTTTGGTCATCACATTTTTTTGTATGTTTTATAGCTGAACAATATAAAAACACAGACTACAACTCATCTCTTTTGATTTGTTTTCTTTTTTATATAATACCTTTTTAAATGAAAGTACTACATCATCCTAAGTACTGAGCCAGTACTATTTGGGCCTTTTTTTAATAATGGTCTGACAAAATCATTTTCCTGCCTTCATTACCCTGGTTTATAACAGAATTGTCTACATTGAAACTAGTATTATTTGAAGAAATACACAACGTGTTGCCTATCAAAGCAACCAAAGGTCTCATTAGATACGTATGTTGGTGCTCCTAATATGTGTTGGGGATGACTCTCAGCTACTACCACATCTGATTTTAGCTTAATATGTGTAAAACTGACTCAACTTTAACACATTTTGTGTTATTTTCTAAAGTCAATCACTCTGGGTGACTCAGGTTGACTCCAAAATGTAATCAGTTGTGGATGTACATGACTGAAATCAGAAAGTTTAATTAAAATCTCTCAAGTACTTCATGAAATATTTTGCAAACTGACTAACAAACACCCGCACATAGACATGAGCATCGGCATGATCACCTTTAAAGAAGGGGAGCAATATAATTAAATATAGTGACTTGTGCAGCCACTTTGTTTTAACATTTTTATACAGCTCTAAAAACATGTTGATATAATCACAATACTTTTTGATATTCCTAAAAAAGACTATTCTCTTCCACAAAATAAAAAAATAAAAAAACACTGTATTTGTTAATTTTGTATTTGCTGGTTTGGGGTTTACACAGTTTGCTCTGGGAGTCAGTTTTACCAGATCACCAGAAAAATCTGAGCAATCCGTTATTTCAGGACAAATACTCCTTCATACTGTACAGCAGGAGTCTGCAACATTTTAGATCCAAAGAGCCATTTCTACCCTTCACTTACGAAACAAAATGTATCTAGAGCCGCAAAACCCGCTACAACAGTGATTATCAACTGGTGGCTCATGGGCCACTTCAAATTTGTATGACTTTTTTCCAGCCAATGGGGCTGACTTTAGAAAACAAAAATGACATAATGAATTTCAACATTTATTAATATTTTTTTTACATTTTAGGGCTAAAGCAAAGACTGCATTCATGTGAAATAGGGGGAAAAGTTCATACCAATTTTACCAAATAAAATATAACTCTGAACTCTGCAGGTTTTTGAGTCTTCCTTTTAAATTTTAGAAATATTAAAAAAAATTGTATTCCGCTTTAAAGTAATAAAGCATAAATTTAAAGTGTATCTAAATATTAGGCAGTTTTGTTGGCTATGTCATTGTGACATTAAGTTTTTAATTTCAAAACAACTTTTGTATGTACTTTAACTTGAATTAGGTCTATCTAACTATTAATTACTCAACTTATTTTTTCTAGGCAACTTGTCCTAAAGAATTTCTGGTGGATTTGAGAGAACGATCCCACTTTAGTGACAAATGTTGGATAAATGAAGTAGCTAAACCTCATCATCATTATTTTCTCTAATTTAATTTAATAAACATTTGCAGAAAAACTGCTTAAACTTGCCATTTCTCTTTACTGTGGTTATAAAAATGAATTACTTTACATTTTCTATTATGTTTGGTCAAAGCTTCAAGGAGCCGCACACCAAGGACCAATGAGGCACATGTGGCCCCAGATCCGCAGGTTGCAGACCCCTGCTTTACAGTCATCAATCATTGTTCTATAACAGCACAAGACACATTCAGCTTTAAATTGATTAAAATCTATTTAGCCATTTAATAAATTAACATATTCTCTCTAAATATGGCCCATCAAACATGTGAGATACATCCAAGTGGAGCAGCCGGCAGCTATTTAAGGGCCCAGGACGCATTTAGGAAAATAGGTATCTTGCTCAAGGACACCACAACTTATGGGCACAGCAGGGAATCAAACTTATAACGTTCCTGTCCAGAGTACTCCTACCACTGTCCCACAGCTGCTGTCTTACTTTCAAAAACAATTATAAAATTAACTATAATAAAGAAAAGTATGATTTATTTTTTTTTTTTGTGACAAGTGCAATATGTCTCCTCGTCTATCAGGTTTTATTATGATCAAAGCTTTTACGAGTAACATCTTCAGAATCATTTTATTACTTTAGCTGATGCATGACAGGATATTTTCAACAGCTGTGTTAGTAATGGGTTTATTTATATTAAACCTTGCAAGACAAAAAGCAAAAGCTTCATAAAACATTGCATAACAAGACTGCAAGTATTGTGACAAATGTATTGCTGCCCCAATTGTTAAAATCCATTTATTATCAGTCATAGCTATAATTGTTATTTGTGTCAATGTCATATGAATCTAATGAAAAACAGCCTAAATAATGATAATTTCTAAAACATTAATGGTTAACTATGTGCAGTATTAAGTCTATCTTTCCTCTCTGAACCACAGCTGAAAAGATAATCCAGTCCAGACGTCATCCCACATTGCTGGGATGCACAGTTCCCTTCTGATCTCAGTTCATGCACAGAAAGACCCTCATTGTCAACACAGAAACCAACAGATACAGGCTGGTGGCATGTAAGGAGAGAGGTTGTTGGTTTTTTTTTATTTAAGTGGAGGCCTAATAGACAAGGATTGAAACTGAGCATCCCATCATGAACGTTAAACAGCCCTGCATCTTTCTCAGAGGAGGAGACAAGAGGAGAAAAGTAAGTCTGCACGTTTTGATGATTCATTAGTTTTGTGCCATAATGAATTTTAAAATACACTTACAGTACATGTATTGATCCTACCAGTTTTCCAAGTCACAGATAAATTAAACATATTTTGATTTTAGGTTGTATTTTTAGGTTTAACAAGAACAATTGTTAACACGTTTGTTTAATTACTGAGTGGCTTTAGTGCTGCTATACAAAGGAAACCTAATGTACGCTGGAGTAGCTTTTTAATCATCCAGATCAGAGTAATCCCCATGCTTTCATAGAAGGCAACAAGATATTCAACTTAAATTCAAGTAATTAGGACACTTTAACCACTATAGAGTAAAGACGGAAATATTTTTTATTTTTTCATCATATATATATATAATGAAAAAATA